CGGAGAGGAAGAATTTCCTCCAATGTATTTGAATATCATCGTCCAACCTTAAAAAATAAAAAAAAATGTAAACAATTGTTCAGGTTAGTGAAAAATGCTTGTTCCTTTGGAGAACCCTAGAAATAGTTTTTCTAATTGACTGAATGGACATGATCTAAGACCTTCCTAGTCAAGTGAGTTAGTCAGAGAAATACTGATGACCCTCACTCGACCCCTCACTTGTGGTCACCAGAAAACACTTTGAGGTTGATTTTTTTTACGACTAACGGTTTAAATTTGTCGATTTTATACGCCTAACGGCTGAACTTTTGGTCGTTTTTCGCCTAACGGTTAACCACATTGAGATCCTCTTATTTGGTTTGACGTACCACCTCCATCACTTGTCTGGTCGCAGTACACTGGGAATGAATCTGATCCATGATTGGAAATCTCGTAGACTCCTGTTTCTTTTGGGGCTTGAGAACAGTTCTGAGGCAGAATGACTGAAAAAATTCAAAGTGGAAAAGATGCTTATACGAATCCTTGCACACGATGCAGTGATCTGTAGGTCTCTCTGTTGTACTGGTCTGATCCCTATACTCTCATTTCACAAAACTTCAAATTCGAATACTTTTTGTGTAAAGCTTTTAATTATGATTTCAATAGGTTGGCACGAATGACTCCCTCACTGCAAGTCGTAACAATAACTCTTGTTCTCCAAACCGTAAGGGGACGATTTTGAAAAAACAAAACATGCTAAATTGTGCTAGAGGTTAGCGATTCCCCAAGCCGGCCGCAAAACGGATTGGCCACCGAAAACCTAAAGTAATTATTGATATAAACAAATACTTGCTAAGAAGCGAGAAGGAGGTTTTCCGTTATACACAACTAACATATTTAAACATGCAGTCAATGACTTAAGAGAATTTCGAAAATTTTCTTAAGCAGAAAAATGAAAATACCAAGAAGCATAAAAAGGCAGGAATATTTGCGTTACTTGACTGAATAAGCTGAAAATACCTTGGTCACAATTCTCTCCCCCGAATCCTTGTGGACAGACACACCAGTATCCTTTTGAAGTAAACCCAGATTGACAAGTAGAATTTTTCTGACATGCGCTGCTTCTACAAGGATTCTGTGATGAAAAAAAAAAGGAAACAGTGCTTTTCCCTTTTTGTATGCTAAGACCACGGTTCTTCTTGAGGGTTTACTATCATCATTATTATTATTATCATCAGTGTAATTTTGAAAAGAGGTCATCAAAATCATTCCTTCGAAAAATCACTAAACCTCACGACGATTTCATCTGGTCTCCAACATTCGGGAAATTAACTTCGCCACGAACGAGGTCTGTTGTATGCCGCACCGCTTCCTGCTGATTTAAAATTGCCTATCTAAAGAGTTCAGGTAATCATGCCATAACATGGCTACCTTTCCTTTCTGTTTGCATTTCTGTGGTCAACCAGTCAGTCGTGTCACGTGAGGTTTCAACGATAGAAAACGTTCGGTTGTGTTTAGGTTGTAAGGCTT